TCTCTCTCTCTCTCTCTCTCTCTCTCTCTCTCTCTCTCTCTCTCTCTCTCTCTCTCTCTCTCTCTCTCTCTCGACCACCTCCTCCTTTTCCTCCTCTGGCTCCCACATCATCCTGATCTTCCCCCCTCCGCCCCCCCTCCTCTTTCCCATTCCGCGCTACTCATCCCCTTCTTCACAAATTAGGTTCCCGACCTCCATCCTCCTCCCATTTACTTGAGGATCCAGCCCGACGCCTTCCCCCTCCACAACCTCCTTAAATTCAGCAATCTTTTGGAAAAAAAAAAAAAAAAAAAACTTAAGACATACCGCGGTGACTTCCCCTCCTTCCTCAGTCCCTGCATCCCCATCCCGACCAACCAAATCCCGACCCTCTCATCCTTCTGATCCCGCACCCTTACTCACCCCCTCGTCCTACTCCACCCGCTCAAGATTTCGACGGCCGGCCACCTTCTCCTGTCACTGTCCTCCTGGGCGCAGGCCTGACCTTGCACCTACTGACCTTCCCTAGTGTTCCTTCACCCCCCTGCCTCTCCGCATTCACGGCGTGATCCCCGCCAACTCCTCCCAACATTGGCCGTGCACAAATCCTGTCCCACTCGGAACACAGACCACCCCCACAAAAACTTCAGCTGCAACTCTAAACAAAAAACGGATGGATGGAGGGAAGGAGGCATGTAACGAGAATGAGAGAGAGAGAGAGAGAGAGAGAGAGAGAGAGAGAGAGAGAGAGAGGGTGCGCACCCACCTATTTCGTGTTTGGGCCGAGTCTGACGGAACTCTTCACCTCTTCACGCACAACATCGCTGAGAGAGAGAGAGAGGAAGAAAGAGATGGGGAGAGAGAGAGAGAGAGAGAGAGAGAGAGAGAGAGAGAGAGAGAGAGGGTGCAATTCGCCACGCTGCGTGAACGTACTCACCTATTTTGTTTCTGGGCCGAGTGTGAATTGAACTCTGCACGTCTTCACCCACAACACCACTGAGAGAGAGAGAGAGAGAGAGAGAGAGAGAGAGAGAGAGAGAGAGAGAGCACTTCCGCAAGCCCGTTTGCAGGCAGCCCACACTCAGCTCGCCAACCTGCCTATTCCTTTCTGGGCAGCGCCGACCACAATCGGGCCTGCGTGGAAACAAACGTGCGAAAGTTGAAATCGGCGCGCCCATATCCTTCCGGATTCCAAAAAAAGAAACAAAAAAAAAAGCCTTCCTGGACAGTGTGACGGCCAGTGAGCCTGGTGTAGAGAGTATGGCCTTTCAAACAACAAAAAAAAGGTGTATGGGCCTCGCTCCACCATAGGGCCTCTTTCCACACCACTTACGAGGAGGGCCGGGTGTCACAAGGTCGTTTTGCCTGGGCCGTGAATGACGCGCCTCCGTGAATGACGCACTCCGTAGGGTCCCACCCTCACATTTCATGTCACCTCCAACGGCTTCCCAGAGATTTCCGTCTTTTTGCCTGGGCTGCCCTTATTTTTTAGGGGCGGACCCTAAAAGCCCAAAATGTGGAAACATTCCGAAGTTCGTTTTCATCGTGATCAGGGTGTTGTGGCACAATGATTTTGTAAGAATCCTTATATTTCAAGTGGTGTCGAAGGAGGCCCATACAACATTCTGCTGAAACTGGATATGGTCTTATACTTACAGTACGCCATAATGTTAGAATAGTCCGAATGCAACTGGACTTCGGTCCAGTCCAGATACTTTTAGAGTCTAGTTGAACTACTCGCCCTTTGCCACAATCCCTGGCGGGTAGGATCCATGGTTGCATTTACTAGCCACAATTGAACTCAGGTAATTCATACCCGAAACTTGGTCCCACATGGGCCTTTCCTTCGTAGGAGGCTACCACGAAGCTACTGGCGGGCGTTTAGGGACCATCTATTGCGTCAATCCATGGTCCTTAGGCGCACCATTGTCTTTGTGGTAGCCTCCTACAACGAAAATGTGCAGGTGGGACTGAGCCCTTGGTCGGGTAATTCGGAAGTATTTGATGTCGCTTATCTATGGGCTAAGTTTCATAATAAGGTCCATAGTAGTAATATATATATATATACAGGGTCACCAGCCCGTACGTACGGAGGTCCCCGGGCAGACCTCCGTACGTATGGGCGTTCGGGGTCCCGTACGGGGTCTGAACCCAACGGCGTTTGGCCCCCGCCAAAAATGATTTCGGGGCCTAAAAATAATTATTTTTTTCTGAATTTTATTTTGTAAGTTCTCTATGACGTGAGGTAAATGCCTGTAAATTTTCAAGTCATTCAGCTAAGCCAAATAATAATAAAAAATCGCCAAAGATGGCGGTGTCAAAACGTGCTCGCCCACGTATTTTTCCACTTTTTACTTTTTGTTTTCACTTTAGTTCAGGGTCTAAACAATTTTATTATTTTTTGAAAATTTTTTAGTGGGTTTTGTATCATGTGAAGTACACATCTGTAAATTTTCAGGGCATTTAGCTATGCCAAAAAAAAAATGAAAAATCGCCAAAGATGGCGGTGTCGAAAACATGCTCGCGCACTCACTAAATTTAATTCTCTTTTTATTTTTATTTATTTTTATTATTAGTATTTATTTTTTGTATTTTATTTTTATTTAAAATTTGGTAAGGAATTCAGATGTAATGCTCAGGCAAATCTTGTTTAATTTATTTTTCTCCATAACATATCTTTTTTTTAGATCTTTTTTGAACGCCGGTTACCCTGTATATATATATATATATTTATTTATTTATTTATTTTAACGAACAACTCGGTTGTATGGGCTAAGTTTTTTGATAAGTGAGGTTTAATAATGCATACAGAGAGTCCTGAACTACTTTTCAATGCATGAGCTTAGTTAAAGATACAACCTGCGTAGCATCGCGCTCGGGCTCAGTGACCGAACCCAAACGCTCGGTACCGTGTCCGAACGTGACCCAAAATGGGCCGAGCCCGAACATTTTTATTATACACACACACACCATACACACGCACCCCCAGACACCCCACACACACACACCATACACACCACACACATGAGGACGCGCTCGACAACCACCTAATTTGCGCTCGGCCGAACATGTTTAGTTCCCACTCGGTCGAGCGTTCGAACACGTTCATCTTTTCGGTGGGGCACCGAACATGTTCGATGTGCTACACGGGATACAACTATTGCTATTATTCGGAGGTAAGGATAAAACCATAATCTTGTTTTCTATTTCTCTTTACTGAGTGAGGAAAACCAAAAGTAAATCCGTACTTTCAACCTGAGTGCCCCCCCTCCTTTTTTTTAGGAAAAAAATATTTCCCCCCCCGTGCTAATTTTTTATTTTAGTGATTTTTTAAACGGTAAATAAATTTTTCAATTTCAATAAAGGCATGACAACAATGCGACAGAAAGGAATTTTTGCAAAACCCTGTTTAGGGGGGGGGAGAGGTGTGGTTAAAGGAAAGCAGAATTATGTTTTCGCTTTCCCTTCCATCTTTTATTCAAGGATTATTTCATGCTTTATATATATATATATTTTTTCTCTTATTTTTACTTTAAATAAAATTAATATTTGATAACAAATTTAGTATGCTCATGCAAATCAAATGCATATATACATAGATGAAATTAAAATTTCTACCTTATTGAAAATTTGATGGTACTACCCAAGTTATCTTTTATTCAAGGATTATTTCATGCTTTATATAAATACTTTTTCCTCTTATTTTTTTACTTTAAAAAATAATTAATATTTGATAACAAATTTAGTATGCATATGCAAATTGCATGCATATATACATAGATGAAATTAAAATTTCTACCTTATTGAAAATTTGATGGTACTACCCAAGTTGTTAACAATATTACTGAAAGCATACCACCGATACAATTGGGATGAGTCTAAAAACTCTAAATTTGGATCCTAAATTAAAAAAATATATTTTTAATAAATAATTCTTCGATATGTCTTACGCTTAGGATATAGAAAGAGATTAATAGATATACAGGCAAGGTGGTCGTCGTTCGAGACGAGCCGAATACCCGAACCCGAACTTCCAAACGTACGGGACCCCTGGAAATGCGCTCGACCATTCGGGAAGAACACAAAAAAAAAAAAAAAAAAAAAAAAATCTGCAAAAAATATATGTTATGCAAAAAAATAAACTAAACAATATTTGTTTAAGCATAACATCCAAATTCCTTCTCGAATTTGAAATAAAAGTTAAAAAAAGAAAATAAGTACCATGAAAAAAAATAAGAAAAAATAAAAATAGAAAATAACTAGGCTACGAGAGTGGCCCGGGGTCACTTGCCTGGCCGGGCCAAAAAAATAAAAATAAAAATATTATTTTTAATTTTTAATTTTTATTTTAATTTTGGTGAAGAATTGCGATGTAACCCCCAGGCAAAAGTTGTTTAGTTTATTTTTCTACATAACATAGTTTTTTTCCGGATTTTTTTTTTTTTTTTTTTTTTTTTTTTTTTTGGACCTGCTTACACGGGCTGACCACCCGGGACCCGGGCGGCCCGGCTGGTAGCCTAGGAAATTAACGAATTAAAATTAGTGAGTGAGCAAACCCGTTTTCGACACCGCCATTCTTTGCAATTTTTCTTTTTTTTATACAGCCTAATGCTCGACAACTTTACATATGAATACTTCACATAATACAAAACTCATGCAAAAAGATAAAAAAAAATATTAAATATTTGAGGCATCAAAATAAAATCACAACAAAAAGTGACAAGTGAAAAAAAAATTAAGTAGCCGAGTACATTTTAACACCGCCATCTTTGGCGATTTTTTATTTTGTTTTGACTCAACAAAATGTTTTGAAAATTTATATGCATGTAGCGCATGTCCTAAAGAACTTACGAATGAAAACTCAACAAAACAAAATCATTTTTAGGCCCCGAAATAATTTATGGCAGGGAAGGGGTTCGACCCCTGAACGTTCGGCCTGATAACCATGTATGCAGGAATTTTTGACATAGATTATGAGATGATAAAATTATGAGTTAGATAATCCCAATGTGATGAAATATGTGATATGAAAAACGAGATATACATCTTAACTTATTACTAATCTCAGTTGCTACTTAATTACTCGTTTAATATTGAGAATGTTAAAGTTATGCCCATTTAGGGAAGTTTTTTGATAAAATAATGAATACATGATCTATTGGAAGTGATGGGTTATAAAATTGAAGAAAGAAAAACTTTGTACAGTACAACCTACATTTTCGGGGTTAAATTATACGTTTGGGGTCAAATTTATATAATAACAATAAAACACTAATTATATGTTTTACCTTTTCAACCAATCGAAAAAGGTTTATACTGCTTTTGGTTTTCCTCACTTTAGGGATTACCCGACTGGTAGCCTAGTTTTTTATTAATAGTTGGGCGGCCCGACTGGTAGCATTGTTTTTACTTAAATTTTTATTTTTAATTTGGTAAAAAATATTAATATGACCATGAGACAAAAATTATTCAACTTGTTTTTATACATCACATAGTTTTTTATTCATAGTTTATTTATTTATTTATTTATTTATTTATTGTTGGACCCTTCCTTGGTTTTTGCACGGGGAGACCATCCAATTAAACAAGGTTACACAAATGTCCCACC